CGCGCATTCGTGCGGGGATAGACAAGTGAGGGAGTGGGCGATTGGACCGGGTCCCAGCGGGTCCCCAAGGCAGCGGAGGGCACCGCCATTTTCCCGCTCTGACCACGCCCCCACATACAGCGTCACAACCCAGCGACCTGGGAGTCCAAGGCTCCGCTCCTCATACTTAATAGGCGCGAACAGACCAAAAATGGCTCAAGAAGATCTCAAAGCCCCAGAGCCTATAAATCTAAGTGATGAAGAAATAGTAAAACTCTCAGACGCAGAGTTTAAAACACTGGTGATCAGGATCCTCACAGAACTGGTTGATTATAGCCACAAATTAGAGAAACATTATGAAGGCGAAACTAATTGAAATGAATGGAATTACACAGGAAACCAATAGCGATGAAAAGGAAACTGGGACTCAAATCAATGGAGTGGACCAGAAGAAAGCAAATAATGGCCAAACAGAAAAGAGTGAAGAAGCAAGAATTCAAAGAAATGAGGAGAGTCTTAGGAACCTCCAGGACATCTTTAAACATTCCAACATCCGAATTATAGTGGTACCAGAAGGGGGAAAGGAACAGCCACCGGTGAAAAACTTATTTGAACAAATAATAAAGGAGAATTTCCCCAATCTGGCAAAGGAAATAGACTTCCAGGAAATCCAGGAAGCTCAGAGAGTTCCAAAGAAGGTGGACCCAAGAAGGAACACACCAAGGCACATCATCATTACATTAGCCAAGATTAAAATGAAGGAGAGAATTCTAGAAGCAGCAAGAGCTAAGGGGACAGTCACCTACAAAGGAGTTCCTATCAGACTATTAGCTGATTTCTCAAAAGAGACCTTACAGGCAAGAAGGGGCTGGAAAGAGGTATTCCAAGTCATGAAATCCAAAGACCTACAACCAAGATTGATCTATCCAGCAAAACTTTCATTTAGAATGGAAGGACAGATAAAATGCTTCTCAGATAAGGTCAAATTCAAGGAGTTCATCATCACCAAGCCCTTATTATATGAAATGTTAAAGGGACTTACCTAAGAAAAAGAAGTTAAAAAAACATGAACAGTGAAAGAACAGCAAACTCACAGTTATTAACAACCACACCTAAAACAAAAGCAAACTAAAAGGACAGCTAGATCAGGAGTGGAAACATAGAAATGAAGATCTCAAGGAGGGTTAGCAACAGGGGAGTGGGAGAAGGAGAAGGGGGAGAAGGTACAGAAAATAAGTAGCATAGACAGTAGATAGAAAATAGATGGGGGGGCAAGAATAGTATGGGAAATATAGAATCTAAAGAACTTGAGACACATGGTCATAAACTAAAGGGGGCTAATGGTAGTGATGGGGGGGTAGGGTGGAGGGGAATGAAGGGGAGAATAGAACAACTGTAAAGGCATAATCAATAAAATAATAAATTAAAAAAAACAACAAACTCTATTCAAAGCTAAAACTTTCCCTTCCCTTAGCTAGGATTAGTTGTGGGTAGAAGCCAGTGAGATTGTCTTCTCTTATTTTGTTGCTTATCTCCTCACCCACTTGGCAAGTTGCTATCTCTGACTCTACCAGGATTTAACCTGGAAGGAGGAAGAAAGATAGAGAGGCAAGCAATTTTTACCTGACTTCTGTTGTGAAATGGCTTCGTTCTTTCTGAACTTGATATGTTTTTAAGGATTACCCTTTCTCTTGTGTGTACTTGTGTGAAGTTTTCAGAATCCTTTACTGGAACCACAGTACCTGTGATAATTCAAAATTTTTTTTCCTCTTACTAGTCAATACCTAATTCTTCTTCTTCTCTTTTCTTCCTCCTCTTTCACTCCCTGCAATCTTCCTTTTCTTACTCTCTTCTTCTCCCTCTTTCTTGTTCTTTCAGTGGTACTCTGGGAACTTTGAGTGATACCCTGGGTAGGATTTTTTTAACAACTTTATTGAAATTCACATACCATAAGATTCACCTTTTTCAAATGTGTCTTCAGTGTTTTTTAGTGTAAACACAGAGTTGTAGAACAATTACCAGAATATAATTCGGGACATTTTCTGGATAGAATTTATTAGTTCCAGGCTAACCCTCAGTGTAGACTTGCTTCTGGCCCCCTGACCCCCTCCCCTGCCTCGGTCCAGCCGCAGTGGGTCTAAGGGTCCCCTCGAGGTGAAGGTAGGAGTCGGCGAGGAAATCAGGCAACTATGCAGCTCGAGGCAGATGATGCTCTGAAGACCTTAATTGAAAGTAAGGCTGAAGCTTTTATACTATTCTAGCTGGCAAGCGATTTCAGCTTCGTTGGCTTTTGCAGTTACTGTTACTATGCTTCTTGGTCTGAAGAGGAACTTGGCTGTCTGCCTTGGTTAGGCTGTTGCAGGGGGCCTATTCTTATTCTGCGTTTTAGATATGTCTAAAATTGACTTGGGGGGGGGGGTAAACATGCCCTCCATGCCACGTCCACCAGGTTGGAAAATGCTTCTTTGAAGTCTTGGACCTCCCCTCCTGACTTTGTCAAGGAAGGGATCCAACTGTGGACGTGGCACTCCCCACCCCTTCTTCCTCTAATGGGAGAGTAGTAGCTCTCAATACAGCATGCCACTGCACTCTGACTCTCTTGTGTGCCCCCTTCTCCCCACTGGCTGCCACCTCGGAGTGCAGTATTAGCCTTTACGTCCCTAAAGCATCAGGCATCAGTCTGTAGTGTCCCCCCTAACTCTAGGGAACATACATCAAATACTCTAAAGTGCCCTACTGAAGCTTCCTTTAACTTGCTCCAGGTGAAACAATGACACTTTCCCACACCCTTCTTACTTGCGGAAGCAGAAAAATCAGCACAACTCTCTTCAAAGAAACTCTCCTTTTGCAGTGTTTTCTCTACTCTTTATAACTGTGTATGTTGGCTTCAGAACTACCTAACTGATTCTTAGACACATTACCTTGAAAATTTGCAACAGGATAATCGTTTTCACAAGTCATATTAGTATCTGATTGCTAATAGTATCTTGATGCCTCTGTTGAAACTTACAACTTAATATAATGTTTTATTTAACAAATAACTCAGCTATCTCTTAGAAAAGAATGAAGTTTCTCTTTTTCCCTTTAATAAATTTAATTTGATTTTTTTCCTTTTTTATTATAATAAAGTACAAGAAAAACCCATAGAGTTTTGGTGGTAGTGAAGGGATCCGAATAAATAATCATTCAAGCTAAATATACTTCTTACACAAGCTAAATAAAACCTTTTGGCTTTTCAAAGCAATATTTTACATCTTCCATTTTAACTATCACATTGTTCATTTAAGTAGACACCCCTCAAGGCAGACTCTGTGCATAAAATGCTACATAGTAAACATTTGGAAAGGAAAGTAACAGGACAAAGTTGTTCTCATTTGTAGCTGGAGTTGCTTTTTTTCAGTCTGAATTAAATTATTATAAATGTAAATTAAATGAACATTTTAGCTTTTTTGTTAGTCTTGTATAGGTTAATTTTAAAATCTAACAAAATATATAATTACAGAAAATAACTTTAACATTCTGCATTTCCTCTAGCTTCTTTTGCCTACCATAATATATACATTGCATATTATGCTTAAATTGGTTTTATCTCAGTTAGTAATCTTAGTAAAGAGCAATTTTCTTTTCAAGAATTATCAATTCACAAAAATCTATATAGGAAGTTTTGACTAGCTGCATTTCTCCCCTCCAAAATGAAAATAGGATTATTGAGACCCATAGAAAACCTTCAAGGTTATCAGTATATCACAAACTTAATTGAATGCCATTGAAAAACGGACCTTAAAAATGTTATCACAAAGGCACCTTTCTACATTTTTGTAGAGTCTTAGATTATGAAGCATGCTTATAGGTGTAACTTCTTTCCTTGTCATAGTCACCCTAAAACAGTAGTAGTATTATTATTGTCATTGTTATTGTTATTATTCCTATGTGACAAATAAAAAACTGAGATCTAGAGGTGAAATGATGTTTCCCAGGGCAAATGGTAAATTGGCAGTGTGGGGGAGGAGGGAACATTCCTCTACTCTTTAAAGTTCTTTTGATTAGTCTAATAATTCTACGTGAGAGATGAACAAGAGAAAACAACCAAATTTAATTACATGTTCAAGAAAATCAGAGACCCTCACAAGTAAGAGGTTTGGAGACAGAAAGTTAAAACAAGATACAATATGGCATTCTGGACTAAGGATCAGGTAAGGCACCTTAAGGGCTTTAGAGGTGAGGAAGGTCTTATAAAGGACAATAAGAAAAGCAGATGTTCAGTAATTAGATGTTTGCCCTGTCCTGTAGATAGGTGGGAAAAAAAAGTCTCTAATAATAACTGTTACTATGGGCAAGGCCCCAAATTTAAATTGTTTAAGGAGAGGTAAAAATTTCTCAGAAGCCTGCAGGGTCTCTATTGCCATCAGCTCAGAAGAATTCACATGCCAAAGTGGCACATCTTGGGGAGGCTTTCTCTGAACCTCTTGAGCAGCAAAGCTGGGTCTAGAAATAGTTAAGTCCATTCAGTATACAATTTATAGTTACATATATTGGAAATATAGAAATCAAACAGTGAATAGAATCAATAGATGAGATGTATTCTGTCCGCCTTCTCCCACTGTGGCTGCAGGGTGTCCTCTCTACTCCTATTTTACCTGAATGGATAGGATGAAACTTGGAACTGTAATCTGAAAGGCTTTCATTTCAGTCTGGCTGCTTTGGTTTAACCATCTGCACTTGCACTTTGGCCCCTTGGGACCCTAAGTTCTGTCTGCCTTCTCTCATGAAATAGAACACTATTTTCTAGTTCTGTCTCTGCAGTTGATTCCACTGTGCTAGGGAAGGTGGTGGTTTTTTTCTTTAATTCCTTTACCCCCTCTGAATTTAAGTGTGGGATTTTATTTATATTGAAAGTTATATTGAGAAATTAGGTAGACAGGGACCTCATAGTCTCTTATTATTGATGTAGAACTTTCACTACTGCAAGTGCAGTCAAGTTGTTGGTGTGCAGACCATCTGTTGTTACCTTTGTTTCCTAGGTAATATGCACGTGTCACTAGCTGAGGCCCTGGAGGTTCGGGGCGGACCCCTGCAGGAGGAAGAAATATGGGCTGTACTAAATCAAAGTGCCGAAAGTCTCCAAGAATTATTCAGGAAAGGTAAGTCTTGTTTTCCCTCTAATATTGAATATTGGGTGGCTGAAAATACATAAGGGACAGCGTATAGAAGAGTACTTTCTCTTACCTCTTAAAGCTAAAAAAGCTCAAATCTATTTGAACATCTTTGTTGTGCCTGATATTGTGCTAAATAAGGACTGAAAATACTATAGAATGACGAACAAAACCAAAAACATTGTCATTTTATAGTCTAGTATGGAAAATGGCTATTAATAAAACATTTATATAAACAAATGTAAAAAATGCAAGCCATGACAAGGGCCACACTGGAAAGGATTCACAGACTCATGAGAACTCATAATAGGATTTGACATGATCATAGAGAAGAAAAGAAAGGCCTCCCTGTATAAGTCACCTAAAGCTAAGATCTGATAAAAAATAAAAAAAAGAAGAAGAAGAAGTTAACCAAGTTAGAGGGAGGGAAAAACATTCCTGGCAGAGCGAATAATATGTGTATCAGTCTAAATTGGGATAATGTATACAGAATAACGACTTAGGTGCTTCCCTGTAGAGGTAGTTGCCTGTTCCAAAGGTTGTGTGGCATTTTGGAGCAGGAAAATTTAGGCAGTCACTCATTAGTTGTCCCAAAACAGTTGATAGCCCACTGAAAAGCTCCAACATGAAGGTGATGTTTGCCATTTACACATGACTAGCACCTGTTTACAACACTAGGCAAAGAGAGCAAGTTTCACCTGAAAAGGAAGAATCAGTCTTTGGTTTGAATGGATTAATCAGGCACAATAAACATAACAGAAATAGATGAGGCAGTGGTTTTCAAAGGCAGGTCCTGTGGATGAGTAGAATCAGCATTGCCTAAAAAGTTAGTAGAAATGAAAATACTTTGGCCCACTGTAGACCTAACTGAATCAAATATTCTGGGAGTACAGACCAGCAATTTGTGTTATAACAGGTTGTTAAGGATGTTCTGATGCCTGTTAAAGTTTGAGAACCATTTATAAGTCTGAATTGCTAAATACCAAGAGCATGGGAACCTTCTAAAAGTTGTAGGGGGACCACTGATTGAATGCAAATTAGGGACAGATGGTGAAGCTTTGTTGTCACTCTCATTGCTGTTGTTTCCCAGTCCAGGGACTGGAACTTAAAATAGTGTTAGGTCCCACTCCACCCAGTTCTGCTATAACCTAGATGTTTGAAGATCTTTGATTAGAATTAAGATAAATCTAAAGAAAATGAATTCATTTTATTTAATGCCACCTACCTAAATTCTAGCTATTTAAATAGACCTTGTTGCTTTGTTCTCTTTATTTTAGTTTTCCAGAAAACTTGAAAGTATAGGCACTCTAGAACTTAGAACAGGTAGCCATGCCCTGAGGAGGTTGTTGAAGAAAAGATATGCTGGTGGCATTACTCAGTTAATTAACAATTGTCAATTAATATTTAAGAAACGTCTGCTTGTAAGGTGTTGTATGACATGTCAATAAGATGTCACTGTTGCCCTTAAGGGATTTATTCAGATCAAATGTGTGTGAAAATTTTACTACTTCAAATGAGTGGTAGAGACAATAAGTACTACAGATGTTTGGTCAGAGGAGGGAGAGGTAATACTTCCTTTTATTGTAATGAAGTATTGTAATACTTCCTTTTTATTAATGGCAGGATCACTGCCCTGGCTAAAATATAAAACACCTTGCATACTCTTGAGTGCCTGAGGGTTTTCTTTCTTTCAAATTTCATAATTTTTTAATTAAAATATTTTATTTATTTATTTTTTGAGAGAGGGGAAGGGAAGGAGAAAGAGAGGGAGAGAAATATCAATGTACGGCTGCCTCTCATGCATCCCCTGCTGGGAACTGGCCTGCAACCCAGGCATGTGCCCTGACTGGGAATCGAACCACGATACTCTGGTTCGCAGGCCCGTACTCAATCCACTGAGCTATGCCAGCCAGGGCCAAATTTCATAATTTTAATAGAGATTGAAGGTCTGAATATAAAATACTTGCCATTGAGATGGAATTATTGCATAACAATACTGGCACATTACAATAAAGAGACTTACTAGATACATGAAGAAAGTGCAGATAAAGCACAGATGCTCACAGACACAGTTCAAAGCTATGGGAGCTTGATGCAGAGTGTGGTTCCCAGGTGTTACAAACAGAAAGAGTTCATCCACATAGTGCTAACAGAGCCAAACACTACACACTGAGAACTACAGTGGAGGTGCCAGCAGGAGCATGGGAAGCTGATGTTCTAAAGCCCAAACTCCCCAGTGGCATGTAGCTTACAAAGTATGTAGGGGAAAATCACAAGACACTGTGGGTTGGGGGGTTTGAGGTCATGCTGGCAACTGATTGGTAGGAGGTGAGGAAGAGTAATAAACCATTTATTTCAGTCGTGAGTACAGTTTTGAGGTCTGTTCTGGTGTCCCTCTATCAGGTCTCATGGGAAAGTAGCTAGGGGGTTGTTCCACCATAGGACTCAGGCACCGAAAGATAACTTAGTCATGATGTTATCTTTAGCCTGACAGAGGTCTAGATGGTGAGACCATTAGTCATATGCAGGCTGCTGTCTTCTGCTGCTTCTGGGGTTGCTAATTATCCAGGGAAAATTTTAGGTTGTTGAGGAATAGAGAGAGATAGAGATGATTTCTAGAGCTAGGATTTAAAGCAAAATTTGATCAAAGTCATAAGGGCCCTTGGTTTCACTGGGAAGGAGCTTGGCAATGCCGCTCTCTGGCCCAGGTGCACTGCCTCTATGATGGCTCTCTACAGAACAGATGCTGAATGATAGTTTTGTCTTTTTTTTTTTGCAAAAGCAAAAAATCCTCTTCAAATTTATTTTAGTTAGAGAAAATACATGTTAATATAGATCTTTAATAAAAGCTAAATAGATTAACACAGACTTTCCTAAAGCAAGTGATGCCTGTATGAGTTTGCTTATTTTGTGGATGCATGGTGTTGGTCATGGTTTCTAGTAAACACCCTTATGAATAATGCTTAGTATTGTTAGGAGAATAAAAGCAGGTAAAATACAATGGTCTCTAAGGAGTTTGTTTTCTAAAATGTGTTTTCCTGTCTGGGTTTTCTTTGTCTTTCTGTGTGTTAGTTTTGGTTCTTGTCTCCCTATCCTTTGGCTTTTTCTTCCTGTCTTTTGAACTTGTTCCTGTGTGTTTTTTAGTATTTACATGAAAGTTGACATTCCTGAGATAAAAGGGAGGTAATAAACATTTCTACTGGGGTTTTATTGAGCACAGGTCAAGAAAATTATCTGTTTCTTCATCTTTTTGAGACTTCTTGCAATTTAAGGCTTTTAGATGTTTTTTTAAATGAACTTGTTGTGCTTATTATTTATTGAATAATCATACCTAAGCCTGACTTTGTTGCAATATACCATATTCAAATGAGTTTCTCCTCAGAGGAGGTAACATGTAAAACTTTTTTCAAATGTGTAATTCTAAACATTTAGATAATAGTGGTATAATAATTGGTTTCCCTTGTGGTTGGTATATATGTTTCTTAGTCTTACTGTCTTATTATTAAAATGTGTGATCTGTGCGATTACTTTTTAGAAGTTTTTGAGATTTAGTTGTAGTCTTACACATGGTCTGTTTTTGTAAATAATCTGGGAATTTGGAAAGAATATGTTATCTGTTTCTAGGGTATAACTTAAGCTTGTTCATGCTTGTGTGAAATTTTTTCTGTGTTCTTATTATCTGTCAAATCCTTATAGTGACATTTTTGTCTGTCTTACTACTGTCATGTGTTTTGATGCAATTTTTTGTGATGTGTATAATGGCTAATGGCTAATTTAAATGGATTGGATCTTCTATCAAGATAAAATAACCCTTTGTTTCTTTTTACTGTTCACCTTAAATTCTGTCTAGTCTGCTCTTTATTTTTTCATTATCATATTATTTATTTATTTTTCAATATTTTATTCTTTTGCCACTACAGTTTTCCAAATTTTTCCCCTTTTGCTCCCTTCCACCCACCCACTCCCCCATTCCCACACCATGGTTCATGTTCATAGGTCATGCATATATGCTCCTTGACTAATCTCTTTACCTTCTTTCAAAGCCCCCTTCCATCTTACAGCTGTCTGTTCCATGTTTCTATGCTTCTGATTCTGTTTGCTTGTTAGTTTATAAGTGAGACAACATGGTGTTTGTTGTTAGTTTATTTTGCTCATTAGATTCTACGTATAAGTGAGGTCATATGGTATTTTTCTTTCTTTGATTTATTTCACTTAGCATAATAGTCTCCAGTTCCATCCATGCTGTCGCAAAAAGTAAGAATTCCTTTTTTTACTGCTGTGTAGTATTCCATTGCCACCTCTGCTCCTTTTCCTTGCCATTTACCTAGAATATCTTTTCTCCTTCATTTTCAAATGGTCTGTGTTGAAACTTAGGCATTTCTTATAAATAGTAGATAGCTAGATTTTGCTTTCCATGTTCAGCTGAGGAGATACTATGTATTAATTCAAAAATTAAATGTGGCCATTGAAATAAAAATTCTGGAGAAATTTTATTAAAGGTCCTTTCTTCCTAATTATATGCTTCTCATTTCATCTGATTGACTGATTGAAAAACATAGCTTATGTCAGAGAAAACATACACATTTAAGATTTTAGCTTTTACATCATGGATAAACTTATGTGGTGGCTTAGTGGAAAATTAAAAAACACTGTTGTTCTCATACACATTGTGGATCATCTTTAGAACTGAAATATTTGCTGCCTTGGAAAAATTAGCTTACAATTTTATTACTTGCCCCAAACAGTGCGTTTTTAAAAATTATGAAACTATTGCTTTGTGCACAAAATAGATCTTTTGAATCTATTTTAAGGTATTAAGGGGTTTTAAGGTATTAGAGTAGCTGGATGGTTGTTGTGAAAATTGCCTCTTCATAACTAATGAGGAAAAGACCTAATCTCCCTTGCTTAGGCAAGGATATAAATCCCATGTAAATCCCTTTTATTATGTCTGTGGTCATTTCTGGTTCCCTGTTTAAGGAATAAAATAA